AACGAAAACAATAGATTTTCAGTGCTTGTGAGAAAAATTGTTATACAAATTTTATGTACCCCCTTTAAGGGGCTGTATCTTAACAAGGGATGCTCCAATGAAGTTTCTTTATATGAAAGATCCTATCTTTTTTTCGATGAGGAATCACCTCCTTAAACGTTTTACACTTATTCAGTTACACCCTGTATAAGTTATTTCGTTGCAAAGCAACAAATGCTCCTTTTGATACGCTATTATACTATAAATCAGTAAATTCAGTCGAGTAGATCCAATTTCGGCTGGCGAACGAGATCATAAAAAACATATTCTCTCCCTATTGCAAAGTTTTTTTTTATTCCATGTTATCTTTATTTACTTCATCCTCGTGTAACATTTACACTCATTTATATTTGAATATTTCCAACAGTAACATTGAAAAGCAACTAATTTCGAAATATCTTTTGCAGGTATGTTCAAGACAAAATATTTGAAAATAAACTACTAGTTTGGGAGGCATTGCAGAAAGATGCATTTATTTTTGTGGCAGGTAATGCAAGAAACATGCCGCAGGGAGTTAGACAAGCTTTTATAGAAGTCATCAGAGAATGTGGAGTTATGACATTGGAAAATGCAACACATTATGTAGAAAATATGGAGAAAAGTGGTCGATATCAAATTGAGTGCTGGTCATAATAGTGAATTCACACTTCGTGATTTTAATTGTAAATTCTACCAATAAATATTTGTTGTTGACTGTTATCAAAACTCCCGTTTTTTTTCTTCAAAGAGTAGAGTTAGAAATTATGGGTAAGTATCAGGTTGTTTTAAAAGTTTTGTCTGTTTTTACACGCTTTATATTAGTTTCACTTGAATGTATGTATGTTTGTAACTCTCAAGCTTGCGATCTGTATTTGACAGATTTATCGACATTATTGCTTGATCTATTCGCGGGCAGATGGCGCTGTACGTAATATCTTTGATATGATTCGAACTCATTTTACATGTATTTCTCCATTTGAAAAAAGGATTTTTTTTATCAACACGCGCGCCTGCTGCTTTATTTGTAACCCTCCTTTGCGTGCCATCCTTGGGCTTGGTAGCTGATTTTCAGCCTCCTTCTCCGGAATCGGAAAATATTGTAACGAGTTGAAGAATTAACTGTCTTAAACAAATATATTTTTAACAATATTTCACTATCACAACTAATTTATATTCCACACTTAGCAACTAACGCCTAATTTATCTTCACTGTTCGAATTACACACATCGGAAAAGTCTAGGGATATTTTTAAAAATGGCAATATTTTTTTTTAGATCGCTTTAGGGAAAAAAAAGTTGACGGGTGATTATTAAACGAATGTAACTTCAACAAAATTTATTAAATGGTCAAAAATACAGAGTGCGCATATAAGCAAAACTAAAAAAAAATATGGCTCTTCTTTGGCACCCCGAAAAAAAATCATAATACAAAAAAAATTGGAATCAGTACAAAGTATGGCCTCTACGCTGGTTTATTACGGCCCTACATCTATCGTGCATCGACAAAATGAGATTGTCAATGTCTTGTTGAGGTACATTTGCCCATTCAACGATTAAAAGCTCTCTCAATTGAAATATTGTGTGGATTAAAAGCTCTCTCAATTGAAACGTTGTGTGAATGTTCCCCATATGCGGAGTAATTCTTCGTTGAAGCATGCCCCACACATGCTCAATGGGATTCAGGTCCGGTGATTGTGCTGGCCATGGTAATACATCAACTTCTTCGTTGGTGAGCCAGTCAGCCACTAGACGCGCGACATTTGGACGAGCATTATCGTGCATTAGGTGGAAGTTTTCACCAACAGCACCAGCAAACGGACGGACGATAGGTAGAAGAATGGTGTCGAGGTACTGTCGAGCTGTGAGGGAGCGATTTGGAAAAACGAGATCGGTTCTGCCGCCGATCATGATTCCGCCCCATAGCATTACTGTACCACCTCTGTATGTGTGGACTTCCTGGACGTGTCTCAAACGTTCATTATTTCCAGGTCGTCTCCACAGTCTTACTCGACGAGAATCTGGATGAAATCCAAATCTGGATTCGTCTGTAAACAAAACTGTGGCCCAATTATTTGCATCGCAGTTTTGATGTTCTTGACACCACTCTAATCTTCCACACCGATTGCCTCTCGACAAAGGTGGACATCTAAGTGGCGTTCTGTTGTGGAGATCTACTTCATGCAGTCGATTTCTGACAGTATCACGACCAATGGTTACCTGATGCGTCTGCTGCAACACGGTAACCAACTCAGGTGCTGTGATTGTCGGTTGTCTTCTTGCGGTTAAGACCAAAAATCGGTCTTGAACTGCAGTTGTAGCGCGTCCTCGCCCTGGATGTTGTTCGGCTGGACTGCTAGTTTCACGGAAACGCCGCCACAATCGACTGATAACACTTTGGGAGACCCCCAAACGAAGAGCTACATCATTTTGTCGCATGCCACCTTGAAGAAGCCCTACAGCTCTATTCATCTCAGCCAATGGTAAGCGATGGCGTTCCATGTTAAAGCACAATATTTCCAGTTTAATTGCTGAGCAAGAACTGCATAGAATGTACAAACTCGACACTTTCAGATTATTTTCATTTTAGCCGAAAACCTACAGTTTGTAAAAAACTTGATAAAAGATTAGTTACCGTTTTTGCAGGCTTTGTTCAACCCATAGAAATCCACAGGGTGGTCGAGTGTACCAATTTAATCGAAATTAAACGACCTCATGCATTTATTTTTATGATATTTAGTATGTTATAAAAATATCCTTAGACTTTTCCGATGTGTGTATTTATTTAAACGCACGATTCGCTTTCTGAATACAGACTGCTGCTCGGGACGGGAAGCGGCCTTTTTATATCGGCAACGATCGCTCCAGATCTCTCTAGGGGTTTCAGCACTCATCTATACCTTTCGCGGTGGTTCGCGATGAGTCGTGTGTTTGCTGGCTGAGATATCGGTCAGGGCCGGCTTCAGATTTGTTACAATATCAATGGTCTTTTTTAATAATAATAATAATATGTTTATTATCGCATACACTGATATACATTACATAGAGTGCTATCGAAAATAAACAAGATAATCACAGAAGCTATAGAAATCTATAGCTTGTTCGTGATAAGGATACATTGTAATTAACTGTATAAATACTTAATCTAACATTGAAAGATAATGAATGATAAATTAATCAATTACCTTATTAACAGAGACAGTAGTTTCAGACAGAATACATAGTTATTTTTGTCTGCTCAACAAATGCTTAAGTTGAATTGCTGTTTGAAATAGTTTGATTAACAAAATCAGAAAAGAAAGCTCTTTCGGTATTCAGAATGAATTTCTTTACTTCTCTCTTAAACATGTGAGAACTGTTGATATTTTTTATTTTTTCTGGTAATAGGTATAAGCGTGGTCCGAGATATGTTGCATTTCTTTGTCCTATGGTTTTGTCACATTGTGATGCATTTAAAGAGTTTCCTTTTTTTCTAGTATTGTAGGAGTGGATGATTGGTTTTATTTTGATGTTTCCTTTTTTTACATTACTGAGTATGCTCTTACAAAAAAGTTGTCGAATATCATATACATTCGCTTCTTTAAATAAGGCAGCAGTTGGACGAGTTTTTTTCCTATTAAATATAATCTTCAGTATCCATTTTTGTATGACATTTAGATTCCTAAGATAACACTCCTCCCCAACCTATTATACCATAGGATAGTTGGGATTGGACAAGTGCGGAGTGCAACGTTTTCTTTTTTTTTGTATCAGATGGAGTAGTAGAAAGTCAAAAACTTTCTTTCCCAAAAAATAAATATAGTTTAAAAAACACGCTTTCAAAGAACATCGAACTAAAAAGTTAAAAATATTTTTTTTAAATAAGCTTAAAACAATAACGAACGCAAAAATACTGGTATTGTGAAAATAGCGTGGGCACTTTGTGCCATATTTTTCGTATATCAAGCAAAAAAAATGATAACTTAGGATACATCATTGAAAATGTAAAATCTGGTTCTATTGAAACCAGAAAGAATCCAATGTAGCGCCCAAAAGAAAAAATAAAGTTGATGATAGTAGCCGGAAGACGAAACGTCGGATTGCAAATCTGAAAACACCCTTATGTAGCAGGGAACAAGTGGCAATGTGAAAGTGCAATTTATTTTCGACGGCATATTGTTAGTCAGGTAAATGCGCAACTTTGCCCCAATTTAACCATCTTCGTATCCCTCAAAGTTTCCGGGATCCCAATGGTGAGGATCGAATTTGAAACACCCTGTATAGCAGGTGTAATAATATCGTATAAAATACCTGTAAGATGGGTGGCTAGATTGAAAAATGCAACAACTTTTTAATAAGACAGGATAACGGCAGACAAAACTGTTCATACTGCAACTGCTGGTCTACGATGCCAATTTGTACCCCGACTACTTTAGAAAAAGTATGCGGGCGCATGCTTGTGTTACCTTTGTGTCACACCGGTGTTTGCCGAAAACGTACGAACATTTTCAGCCGGTAGCTTGTACAGGGTTATTCACTATAAATTATCCACCGCCTATCATCGTTATTATTGACTACAGAAAAAAAGTTAAATGTAAAAGTTGTGAGGGAGATTTTCAAATTCTTTTGTCAACCATTTAGCGATATTGTACGAAGGCGAATTAATTGCTGAGACTATTGGTCGCATCGATTTTCCAGGTGATTTTGGATCAAGAAGATTATTTTGAGAGAGTCGACAGCTTTATTGAAAATGATCCATATCAGAAATTACCACGAAATCCATTATCCAAGATGACCGCTAACGTAAAAGCCACATTGAAAAAATGCAAGACACTGATCACACCGATTTTAAATGATAGCAAGTGAAGATCGATCGTTCAGACTAGGGCTTGAACTACCGACCAACACGGCAGTCAATTCGAGTGAGTGAACAAAGCACCCACGCCGTACCGCTTGGCTACCGACCGACCAATACTTCATTACATTCATAAGACACTTTTACACTATATTTACATAAATAATTTACATGAATGTGACGTAGCTAATACGTGAAATCTTACGTCAATATGGTATATTAGGTTTCACTTAACTCCTATGTAAGGTTGTTACTTCAATATTACGTTCGCTGTGTGAGAGGCTAAAGTTTTTGAGACATTCTTATCATGTGATACGTTGAGATTTGTGTTTTTGTTGATGAGTATTAAAAAAAAACTGTGGAGGCAGAGTTTGGTCAGGAAGTTTTGGTTTTTGAAGGATGCTTTTTCCACTTAATGATTCCAAGTTTTTCTGGGAGCGAGTGTTATATTTGTTTATATTTACTCACTGAGATTATATAAAATATATGTCAAATAATGACATCAATGTTACGTAAAAATCAGGATGTATTTGTGGCGGACATTTCGCCATAACAGGGATGTAAGTTTTACGTAACATAGTTACTGTTCTGTTTGTTGGTAATAAAGAAAATATCTTTTATTTTAAAGGATTTTATTTTCTGAACTGTGCCTGAAATCACATATTGGCTCGAAGTCGAGCTGCTCCATAAAAACAATAGTTTTTTTATAATTACAGTCGAGTAGCTAAACAGAGTGGTACTCGACAAATATACCAATATATAACAGTTACATAACACATATTATTATCAGTTATGTAACATTTATATCAATTTAACATAATTGTGTTTGCTGGGATCATTCACAGTTTGCTCCAATAAACTGTTTTCTTCATCGTAACTAGTTGCCAGATAACTTTTCCCACAGTCGCCACAAAGAATTGAGAAATCTTTCAAAAAATAGTAGTCATTTTTCTTTTTTACTACGCAGCTCTTATGGAATACTTTAAAACATTTTTTGCAAATATAGTGGTCAGATAGGATACATCTTGTTTTGCAACATTCATAGTTAACTATTTTTATAAAATATATGCACATCTTCAAAATGAAGTTTCCTTTTTGATGATGAAGTAGCCAATCATATGGTCAGTGTGACTGGAAATTTAGGCAATTTTTCAAATTTACATCTACATTAATAAGAAACGATACTTGTACCTTTTGTTAAATAAATCCTACGGATTTTCCAAATCCAAGATAGCTCTATTCAAACTGAGCGTTTTATCTTCTTGTTTGTTCCTTTATGTGGTTAGAACGCCTTAGTGCAGGTAAATTTACCTGTATTTGGGTTATATCAACATCACGTACAAGCCAAACAAGAAAACACAAACATTAAACAGCTATGAAAAAGAAGAAGACAAAAACTAAATGGAGTGTACAGTATACAATGCTCGGACTGCAACAAATTATATATCGGCCAAACCAAGAAAAAACTGATCCAAAGGTACAACGAGCACAAATAGGCATACATAAACCCAATAACATATAAGTCAAACCTAGCAACACGCCATACAAAACAAACGTAACTTTCCCCCACCAGAGAACATTAAACAAGTCAATAAAGAAAACGGTATGGACATCTGGGAAAACTTAACATCCATAAATTTAAAAGTCATAATTCACTTATAGAGGTATAAATACAAATCAAAACACAAGACCTAACATTCAATATACTAAACATTACAACACACATTCCTAGAAACACTGAACCTAGAGAAAATCTAACACAAAGAATATTACCTTATGTAACTCAAATACAGGCAAATTTACCTGCAGTACCTGCACAAAGGCGTTCTAACCGCATAAAAGAACAAACAAGAAGATAAAACGTTCAGTTTGAGTAGAGCCAAAAGATGATAGTGCAGCCAGCTATCGAAAGCACTCGTATATAATAAATAGAAGTTATAAAACTTCAAACCCTTTTCGTGACATATGTTAATATTAAAATACTGAAAATAAAGGGAAATTAATTGCATCATTCAAATATATATATATAGTTAAAGGACAGTCTTTGCTGACTAGTTAGAAACAAAACTTAGGAACTATCTTTGGATGATCAGCAGAACGGAAGTGTACTTTTATAACACAAGTTATTCCAATATTTCGATAAAGTCATTATCAAGGAAGAGCTACCAAAAATGTGATGCAGTAATATGAATTTTGTTACAAAAAGGCTCAAACTTACTGTTGTCGAGGATGGCTGTGTCGAAAAGAATGTTACATTTAAATAGTTGAAACATGTCAATAAAATAAAACAAGTTATCATATTGAAAGAAAGTTTTGATTCCTCACTGATACAAAGAAGATTATTAAAATGTACATAATAAAATCGTTATGGTTTGAAATTATAATTTACTGGTAAAATCCATGTGGTTGCAGACCACAGAGAGAGATAAAAACAATTGACACTGACAGCTGTTCTGTGATTCAATTTGAAAGATCGTTCGTTTGTAAATTTATGTTTCAGAGTGGAAGAAAAGTTATGGTGTAAGTGTGATCAGAGTCAACTGCTGTTTTGTGAGATTATTAATGAGAAAACCCAATGTCAGAAGCATACAAATTTATGAACTTTGAACATTTTATTAAAATAACGATAAAAATAAAATAAAAACAACAATAAAAATTAATTGGCGCTCTGGGGCGACTTCATTGTAAAACAATTGACACTGACAGCTGTTCTGTGATTCAATTTGAAAGATCGTTCGTTTGTAAGTTTATGTTTCAGAGTGGAACAAAAGAGAAAAGTTATGGTGCAAGTGTGATCAGAGTCAACTGCTGTTTTGTGAGATTATTAATGAGAAAACCCAATGTCAAAAGCATACAATTATTTATTAGAATGAAGTAAAACTCTGCCTTAGGGAAATTGTACATGTATTTCAAAAACATGAGAATTTATTATTAAAATGAAGTAAAGCCCTGCCTTAGGAAAGTTGTATATTCGTTATGTTTTTTTTAAATTATTTATTATGAGTTACTTCATTTTAATGATAAATTTTCATGTTTTTGAAATACATATACAACTTCCCTAAGGCAGGGTTTTACTTCATTCTAATAAATAATTGTATGCTTCTGACATTGGGTTTTCTCATTAATAATCTCACAAAACAGTTGACTCTGATGATCACACTTGCACCATAACTTTTCTCTTTTGTTCCACTCTGAAACATAAACTTACAAACGAACGATCTTTCAAATTGAATCACAGGACAGCTGTCAATGTCAATTGTTTTTCTCTCTCTGTGGTCTGCAACCACATGGATTTTACCAGTAAATTATTATTTCAAACCATAACGATTTCATTATGTAAATATTAATAATCTTCCTTGTATCAGTGAGGAGTCAAACCTTGCTTTTAATATCTGATAACTTGTTTTATTTTATTGACATGTTTCAACTATTTAAATGTAACATTCTTTTCAGCCAACCTTACCAACAGTAAGTTCGAGCCTTTTTGTAACAAAATTCATATTATTGCATCACATTTTTTGTAGCTCTTGATAATAATCTTTATTATCGAAATATTGGAATAACTTGTGTTATAAAAGTACACTTCCGTTCTGCTGATCACCCAAAGATAGTTCCTAAGTTTTGTGTATATATATGATTTCCTACCAATTAGTAACGTCTACCTCCATCAATTCATATATTATATTTCTAATAAAGGTTTCGCAACACTTGTATCAAAACACATTTACATGCACATTATTTATTAACGTTGCCTAATCTTAGCACAAAATGTCTTGGCAAACCGATATTTATCAAATCATTGCTGTCACATTCAGTGATGTGTGGACTGTAATGTAAAACAGCCTCCCAACAAATTTCACTCAGTTTTGGTATACACAGCCACGTAGAATATACAGCACTACTTCTCCTCACGTCATCTTCAATGCTGTAGTTACCCCCAAATACATAGAGCTTGCCCTCGGGAGTGACAGCGGTAGCATGAAAGTATGTAGGTTGAGGAAGTTGGCAGTTTGAGAAATATGTCCACTGGTACGATTTCAGATCCAATCTCCACAAATCATTGAAAATATTTTCACCGTCATGTCCCCCAGTTATAAATACCTGTACCCCGTGGTTGATTTCAACCTGAACCGCTCCGTGGCAGCGTCTAGGTTTTGGATAACCTGGAAAAAATCAACTTGATAAAAATATTCAACATATTGAAAGTTTGCATGCTTATCAAGAATGTGGACAAAAAGGTGTTTGGAATAGGTGGAAGATTTATTTTTTAGACATAAAAAAATTGTC